GTTCACAATTCTATACAACTTGGAGACTTTGCAGGCATGATTGCATTAACAAACTAATTTATTATTCTAGCCACCACTCCAGGACTGATTATTTTTTTCAAACACCATCACTCTAAAGTAAACTCCGAATATCTATAATTGCATCTTTAGCCATGAGTCTCTTGATACGCCTTCCAATATGGTTACAGATTACAATAATATAACCCAAGATGTATGTCCTGTAGTTATTGACTTGACAAAGACATTCAGCGATGACATTATGACTGTTTCTTTGGCCAAATAGGGTTGAGCTGGAGAAAACCTCTCAAACCTTTTCCCCATAACCATAGATGTAAAAGCCAAAATGAATGTAGCACCTCAAATATACCCTGTTCTCGATTTTCCTTGTAACTAAGCTCAAGGAAGCAAGGGGTTTTTTGGTACATCTTAACAAAGACATTCAGTGAAAAATAAAAATAATAATAATGAAGAGACTTACCAGCTTTTCTCCAGGTTTCATTTGTGCTGCTGGCGTTGGGGGGATAATTACCTCCTCGTACCCCTTAAAATGCTTCCTCTGTGTTCCTTGAGGAAGGGCACTGACTGTAAGGGAGTTAGCACCCTCACCAGATCCAATAAGATCATCAAAAGGATTTTTCCTCTGACTTGCTTGAACTAAAGAAGAAAAGTTAATAGCAGACAAATCACTTTCAGTGCCATATTCAATTCCACGTTTGTTTCGCTTTTCCTCCTTACGTCGAAGCTTATCAATTTGTCTCTCTGATTCTGTTTGAACAGTAACCTTAAATATCATAACAAAGTATTTTATGAGAGATTTATCCATCTGTTATTTCATGTTTGGATTAAAACCATTTTTATTCACTAAGATCCACATGGTACCTGGGTTCCATAGCTAGGCATTCGTGATTGAGAGCTTGAATTCGTTTTCTCAGATTTTATTATTGTTACTCCATGATGAATATCATCAACAAGTTCCCTTCGGTGCTATAAAAAGGACAGAGAAAATAAATAATGTCAACAGTTTTCACTTTGAAAAAAATAAAAAAATCAGGTTTTTTGTCTCAGAAAGAAAGACGAACAAGTGAAGATTCAGAAAGGGAAAGCTGAACTCAGTAACATAGCAAAGATTCTAAAAATGTTTAAATTCATATCCTTACTGAAATTAGATCTTGAACAAACTCAAATGCACCATCACCGACAAGATCCAGTAGATCCGCAGCTATCTTTAGCATGAAAAAGAGAGTTTTAACGATATAAAAATGAGCAAGTTTGATGATAAACATATTCAAGAGGTGTGTGTGTGGCTACCTCCTCTCCAGGTTTTTCTGAATCAAGAACTCGACAAATGGCCATTGCAAGTTCATCAAGGGAAAGTTGTGAGGTACTTTTTCTGATTATATCATCACATGCATCCCTCAGCCAACTCAAATTTAACTTTCCTCTTTCATTAGAGAGATCAAAGTTTATGGAATCATCATGCACATGTTGTCTGTCATAAAATGTAGGTGTAATAGTATCCTCGCCCAGCAAATCTGAATTTTCCAGAGACAAATCCACCAAAAACCTAGCAGGTTCTCTAAAAACAAGATCAGCGCCAAACTCTACATCGGCGTAATCCTTGTTAACTTGCTTCTCTGCAAGCAGTGCAGTTGCATGATCCCTTGGCTGCAAAAGACATAGTTTCTGAACTAGAGGAACAACTTTCTGCAGCCGAGCATCTGAAACTGTATTACCAATAAGCTTTTGCAATTCTTGCCTGCGTTCCGAAATCATTTCAGAAGTCAATATCTGCATTTTGGGCTGCAGTAATTGCATTCTTCAATGTAATTATAGCTTCTCGACGTGAAAAAGTATCATATCGAGTTGTTGTCCGATAAACTTTCAAGTCTTTCATGCAGTGTTTTGAGTAATAAAAAAAAAACAGTAAAAATCTAATCAACTTAAAATAGCACTTTTGCTTTCAGGTTCCGTCCTTACTTGAATATTATCACACACGTTCTTACTTGTTTTTAGCAGTACAGTCGATATCATTCTCTTCTTTTTGCTCGCCAAAAAGACGATAAATAGTCAGTGCTACCTCGCCAAGCTCTTCAGATGGCACTTCTCTGTCAACCAACCCTACTACCGCGGCAATGAATTGCTTATAAGCTTGTCGAACTTCAATGGATGCTGCTCCACCAGTTTTCATCAAAGGAAAACACCATAAGAAGCTAAGCACTACGCAGATTTACGACAAAATTTACACGAAGATGCTAATAATAATGTTCTATACCTTTGTCCCATTGATACACTATCCTCCGTGCAAGCTCTGACTCGCCAGATGAAGTTACAGAACTAAATTACATAACATGGGAAAAAAAATAAACAGTTTCATTACGTTCAGCATAAAGAACTAGCTCAAATTAGCGCACAGATTGATGGAGTGACAAATATATTAGAATTTAAGCAACTATGCATTTACAAATCGTCCATTCACTATCTCAATCCGTTATGGAGTCAGTTTTTATTGCTTTACTTGTTTTTTTTTTTTTTAATTCAATCCAAAAACAGCCAAAAGTCTGGAGCTCCTAATGCTGAATTCACAAGCAGAACTAATACGATAAACGATCAAATTTGAATAGAGAGAGATTACTGGATCGGTTTGTGATTTTGAAGAATGAGCTTGCGAAGGAGATACGCCTGGTCGACATCGAATGGCTCTCTGAGAGAGCTGGTCAATCGGGGAATCTGAAACAACATTTTCTCTACTTCATACCCAAACAGTGAATCGGTGAGAAAAAACCAGGTACAGGAGGAAGACCATGCGACGGCACGAGCTTTTGGCTTGTGTACAAACTACAAAGCCTCTCCCGCGGTGGCGGGGAGATCACTGATATGATTCGGCCGACTTGTCGACTGTCACTTGGACTACACGTCGGAAACTTTATAGTCTATAATGCTACACGTCGTAACCTGGGCTGGGAGTCCACCTGTCTGGCTGTCCTTAATACAAACGACATGTCGACTACTGCTAGATATATACTTGAACAAGTAACACATGTCAACACATAATTTAACTCTTTACAACTACAAATTTTTCTTCTACCCAAAAAATAAAAAAGAACTACGATTTTTTTTATGTATACATGCGTGTTATTTTAACATATTTTTAAATTTTTAAATTTTGTTTTCTATCAATTTTATATTTTGTTTTAGAGCTTATTTTTAAATCTAAATGGATTTAAAATACATAATAAAAACTGATTAAGACTATAATAGTGTTTTGATTTAATGTGATTCATTTTTTAAGTTTTTAAATATTTATTTGAAAAAAAATAATAATAAATATATTTTTAAATACTAATTTTTCACAAGGCTGTTTGTTTAATGAGAAACTGAGATGCTCATTCAAAGTCCGTGTTTGTTTGATAAGAATATTAGATACTCGGATATTCTTAGATGTCTGAACATCCTAAGATACCTATACGAGAGGCATCTAAGCAATTTTAGATGCCCTCCTATAACATGGGTTTCTAACATTTTCATGTCGAGGGCATTTTCTTTTGACAATTTTGTACCTCATCATTTTTGTTCTATAATATTTATTTCTCATTTATTTTATTTTATTTTAAAAATAAATGTATATACTAATTCATCGATAAATGTCTAAATACAATTTGATTTATATGCTACATTTAGATATAAAATAAACATTAGTCAATGATATAATATATTAATTTGTTTTTAATTTAAATGTAGAGTACAACCTTTCGTTTATTTTACTCTTCAATAGTCGACAAACATAAACTAAAATTGACATAAAAAATATAATATTAAATTTAACATATAAATTATACGAGGACCGGTAAGGGCATTTTTTTTTAACATTACCCTATTAAACTATTTTATTGTACTAAAACATTTTTTTTTCTAACTGCATCTATATTTCATGAACCATACTAAAGAAAATGGAATTATAAAATAATTGTCATTATTCAGTGCTTACAGTAACAATTAACTAGTAACCAGTAACCGTTTAAAAAACTAATAACCTTTGAAATTCCATTTTCATTATAAAGTAATGGTGGTCTAATCGATCAAATATACGATTTTCATTTTCCTTAAAATATTGATTTATATGTGTGGTGAGAATATACCTAATCCTATTGAACTCCGTTATCTTAGATAGACGATTTGTTTTCATGGTATGTAATTTTTCTTGTTTCTACTGGACAATATATGATTTATAGTAAATATTTTTTTAAATATCTTGATTTATTTCATTTTTCAAAGTTTATGCTAGGAAAAAGCCTTTGTAACTGGAATATATATATTTGCTTAAGAACGAAGAAGGAAAAAAAAACCTCTTTATGATGGTACCCAACTCATTGTATCTCTAGTGAGTTTGATTGAATCTTAATACGCTAGTCCTTTAATTTAATATTTAAATAATTTATGAAAACGTTGATTGAATTAGAACGATATATTTGTGTTTTATTTATTCATTGAGAATTATATCATTTGATGTATAAAATCATACGTGGGAGAATTTCAATTTAAAAACACAAATTATCACGAGCATGTAATAATCTAATAAATAACTTAAATCACCATCCCAAACATCTATCTCAATAAAAGTGATATATATATATATAACTTAATAAATTTTTTTCTTTGAGAAATATACTATTAGGTTGAATTTAAACGCATAACATTAGGCTGAGTGTTTAAACGCAATCAATCTGAACGTAATAAGATATTACAGAAGCAAAAAAGAAAAGTAAATAATTTGGTTTTTGTTGAATACAAATACAAAAAAATGAGAAAGATGGGACATGAAGATAAGATTCAGGGCCAACTTTAAACAAGAAATTAAAAAGGGAAAAAAAGGATAAAAAGAATAGGAAAAGCAAAAGGACGTGGCGGTGGGGGAAAGTAGTGGGGTGAATTGAAGTAGTATTACTTTAAAGCAAATTTCGGCATGCCCAAAACAAAAGCAAACCAAAGGGGCAAATAAAGAGGAAAAAGAAATTTGTCACTACTCACTACTCACTACTAAACTCAATTATTCTTTCACATTCCATACAATATTTATTCCCCACTCTCAAAATCCCAACATCAAAATACCCCTTCATCATCATATTTTTAATATTTCTCGATCGGACATGGCTGCTTTAGCTCTCGCCGTGCTCCTCCTGGCCGCCATGGCTGGCCACTCAAGTAAGCTCCATCTCATCTTTCAACTCTATCTCGAATAATATATAATTCCTCCAAGATTTTGAAATTGGTTAAGTTATTATTATTATTATTTTTTTTTTTGGAAGGTGGGAGTTGGTGCGTTTGCAAGGACGGGTTGGGAGACGCGGCGCTGCAGAAGGCGCTGGACTACGCGTGCGGGGCCGGGGCGGACTGCAACCCGATTCGGCAGAATGCGGCCTGTTTTCTTCCCAATACGGTGAGGGCTCACTGCTCTTATGCTGTTAATAGCTACTTCCAGAAGAAGGCCCAAACTCAGGGCTCCTGCGATTTTGCTGGCGTTGCTGCCATCTCCACAACTGACCCTAGTAAGCTCTTTTAATTTCTTAATTTTCATACCCAAAATTTTATTATATAAAAAAAAGTCACCTTCTTTATCATTACCAATTCTCCTGCTTTTTTGGCAGGCGCTGCTGGCTGTTCCTACCCTTCAAGCGCCGGGTAAGTTTTGCTTTCCCACTTTTTTCCTTAATTCTTCTATTGGAGTAAATTTAATTATTTATAGGATATATAATAATCGTGGTCTCAATTTTAGATATTACTTTTAAAGTCCATCAACCTCCTCGAATAAGTCCACATGATCCAAGATTTGTAATTTTAGGGTAGAGTTTCAAGTTTCAACCCCCGGCCTCAAAAAATTTGATGTTGAAATTGGAAAACTTCCAACCATATTGGTTGATATTGATACATCTTAATAATCAAAACCCTATATTTATTTATATAATGCAGAAATGATCCGTGTGTCCTCCATTATAAAGTTTTATAGGGCTATGATATGATATTAATTTCACTGTAAAGAGTAACCACAGGCCACAGCATAATAAGAGATAATAAAGAAGATGCAATTATTGGGATCCCATCCGATTTCTTTCCCCTCAAGATTTTAAGAGCTTGGCTGTGGCATTGGGATGCATGTACAGAGTACTTAAACTTCAACACGTCGAAAAAGCAATATTTTCTAGGGTTTGCTTTATTGAATCTTTGACGTAGCCATATGGCTTTTTTTGCCACTTTTGGGGTATTATATAATTAATCACAGTGTCTTTATGATATTATTAATGCTCTTCCTTGTCAAAAGTACTGGTGCCCAACCTGGAATTTTGTCTCAGTTTTTCTTAAATTTTAAACTTGAATGACGGAGCAGGAAAAGTATAAAAAATAATAATAATAATAATAATAAATGATATTTTGATCCTATACTTTTCACTATTTTAAAATTAATCATTTTGATTTCGATTTTTTGTCGGCATGTCATTTCATTAATTCATCATTATTATTTTTTAAAATTTGTAAGATCCCAGCGAGCGTGATTTCCGCATGAGTAACCTGATCTCTGTAGCTGCTTTCTAGGGTTTTGAGCAAAACTTTAGAATTTGTTGGTTTGGATTCTTGAGGGTTGTGCCCTTCTTTTTGACTCCATCTGTCCTTTTGTTTCCTTTTCTTTTCTCTTTTTCTTTCAGAAATTTCTAAATCCTAAAAGGTGGCACCTCCCTCTGCCCATCTTCATTGTGTCTTAAATTTTAGGGGGGTTTTTTTTTTTTTTTTGGTTTGGCACGTAGAAAAAGTTGGGAGCTGGCTTTGAAATTTTTATTCTGAAAATAAAATTATATTATGTTTAATTGATTTTTCAAAAAAATTCTAAATTATGATGGAAGGACTTGTGAAATTTTTTATTGTTAAATTATAACATAAGTTAATTTTGCTCGTCACATTTAAATCGTGGTTCCATGATTTTAAAAGTTACTACATTTTCCTCAAACTCAGCGCTCATTTTAACTAATTGGAAAAAAATCAACATTTTCCCCTCATTTTATATATGAGTTACCTCGATAGTCAACTTTATTTTAATATTCTTATTTAAACATGATTAAACTTAGTAATTAAGTTGATGAGATATGACGTACATAATAATACGGATTAATAATGCTGACTACTAGATGTTATTTCAGTGGCAGCGGCGCCGGAACAACTCCGGTGACGACGGCTCCGACACCACCTGGAGCAACAACAGTACCCGGAATGACGTCACCTGTGACGAGGCCACCAACGACCACCACAACTACAAATCCCATTCCCAACAACTCATCCCCCACCGGAGTTCTGGGCGGTGCCGGCACCGGCACCGGCGTCGGCCCCACCGGAGCCGGAACCACCACCACCGCCGACGAGAGCCACGGCGGGACACGGCTCCAACACCACACATTCCTCTCCCTCTCAATCGTCCTCTTACTTAGCTTAATGCAAATTATTAATTAATTTGGTGAGACTAAATTTAAAGTACTTAATTAGCTAGCTTGTAAAAGAGTGTGCATCTGATGGTTCTTCTGCCTTCTTCTGCTGTTATTAGTAGTTGATTAATTATGATTTAAATAGCCTTCTTATAAGGTTTTGGTTTTTCATTTTCCATCATATTATATAAATATATATCTATCAAGATGGAGGGTTGCACTGGAGTTTTGTAATATATATTATGTTTCGAGGGCGTTGTTTAGATCTAATTAGTATGTATTAGAGTGGTGATTTTCCACTCTAAATATGAGATTTGTTAATTTAAGGAAATTGTTATATTTGTTTTAACTACTCTTTCGACTTCTAATATTTGGATTATGTATTTTGCCACTTGGGATAATTTCGTACGGATGTTTATGATAATTTGTTGAATAAATTGTCGGTCGTAATTTATTAAATTAATGAAAACTACCAGTCATATTTAATTAAATTATAGAGGCACCCTACCAATTATGGATGAGTAGAGATATAAACAATAGAAAATAAAAGATACAAGGAAAAAATATATATCTTATTATCAAAGAGGGGGTGGATTAAAAGAGAAATTGCCATTTTTTGTTCCCAAAATCTTTGTAAAAAATCTGGGTCGATTTCTAAAAAACTTCTTATTTTTGCCCCTTTTCTATCTAAAGTACGCTTTAAATTATTTTTCATCTATTCAATTATTCATATTCTCACATTTATTTTTTTGTTTGTTTCTTATTCAACCTGAACAAAACTTTTTTCTTATAACAAAAACTTCAATTTATGTCTAGATTGTGAAGATGTAAAAAAAGCAATCGGAGGTGAAACTGATTCCGTTTATGAGAGAGATATGAGTTTCCACTTTTCTGTTTAAACTTTAAATTTATGCAATTCTACCGTACTACTTGCATTAGCTATGTGAGTTTCTTTCATTTTCTATTTATTAAACAAATTTGTTTTGAAATAATTATTTGTTAATTTAAATACATTTTTTTAAATTTTTATAGCTTTTTCAAAAATATCCATCCATCGAAAAGTAGTGTTTTTTTTTTCTTTTCCACTACGGTGAAAACAGTTTTTTTTGTTGTTGGTTTGATTTTACATGTTTTTTTAATTAGCCGTGGGTCCATTTGGAGGCACGTCAAGATGACGCACGACGCGAAACGGCGTTCAGGAAATAATTGCAGCCGCAGCCGCAGCCGCAGGCGACGCATCGTCTTAATTAATACATTTCCGTCTCCCTTCTGGTCTGAGCTCTTCTCCGGGCGGTCACCGATTATTTTTCCTTTTCCAATAACTACAATCAACGCAGAAACTGTTCCGATAACGCATTTCTTTGTTCTTCCTCTTCAGTCTTGATCACTTCACTACGGCGCATGCTCACACGTAAGAGTACCATTGAATGTGCAGTGAACGACAGGGCTAGCTGAGTTTCCATCTCTGTAAATAATGGCTGTAAGTTCTCTCTTCGGTTCTTCGCTTTCTATTTCTGCATGCTAAAGTACGAAACTATTAGTCCGGCCGCTAATATAAAAACATTCTTAAACCAAAAGTTTACCCGCTGTTTCTGTTGTCTGATTCTTGTCCTGCTACTTTCGCTCCTTTATGTTCAATAAACTGTGTTTTCTTTTTTGTCTGGAATACACAATATAATCCACCTTAATCTAAAATATTATTAATTTTAATTTATTAATATATTTGTTATAAAATTTTGTAGAGTTATTATTGTATAATATTATATAATTTTTTTTTTACAAAAATAATATATTATATTTTTTATCAAAAAAAGATATTATATTTTACGCCTTCAACTCTAACAAAAATGAAATGATCTTAAATTACATTTTCTAGTATCATCTATTTTAAGCTCCAAATTCAAATACTAGAAATATAAAAAATCCTGTTTTGCGACTTCTTTTAATCACATAATCCAAAAATAGTTTGAAAAGACAAATTTGCCAAGCAGGTATTTACTGGATCAGTTGATTTAATTAATTTTGGCCATTGCCTAATATATAGGCACGATCTCGCTCTGGATTTTGACTGAGTAATCGGCCGTTGTCATATTACTTCTAAAATTCGTGTAAATTTTCCGCGGGTCTTAGGAGCAAGTTTTATGGTCTGCCTAATATCCTAGGCGTACATGAGGCAGTTACCATGTTATTGTTGTCTATTTTCATATATTTTTCTTATATGCTTGTTTGTTTGGTTAAACTTTCAGGCTATTATTACGGAGATGGTACCAAAGATTCCCCCTTCTAAGTACTATTCTGCTAAGTTAACATGTCGGTCTCACATAGGGAACACAATCAAGCTTATTAAGAATAAACTTAGCTCTCGTCAACTTAGTATGTTTAGGAAAACTTGTTTCGGCCACTCTCTAGATGTGCAACTCATATTTAACGGACCACTGATACACCATCTTTTACTGAGGGAGATTGAGGATGACATGAGACCAAATGTGATTAGTGTAGACCTATTCGGGAATAAGGTCTCCTTCGGTCAGAAGGAGTTTAACTTGATCACTGGACTGAAGTATGCAATAAAGACGGTTAGGAAAGACGTGTCCCCTGTGAGGCTTAGGAGTATGTACTTTAAGGACAAAGTTGACCTCCAAGTGACCCAGTTGGAGAGGATGTATGAAGAGGCACAGTTTGAGAACGATGAAGATGCGGTCAAGGTCTCTATAGTCTACTTCGTGGAGTTGGCATTGATGGGGAGAGAGAGGAGTCTAACGGTGGACATGAGCCTCTTCAGAGTAGTTGATGACTGGGATGTATGTTGCAACTATGACTGGTGCACGCCTATTTTTGAAAAGACGATGAGGAGTCTAAAGCGTGGCTTAAAGAGTAAGAAAGTTTCAAAAAAGGATGAGCTCAGGAAGACATATAGTCTATATGGTTTCCCCTATGCATTCCAGGTATGTTGTATCACATTTTAATTAAATTATGTATGATTTGTATAGTATTGCGAACCATTATAGTTTTTTCACATTACTTGTTTCTTGATATAGGTGTGGGCATACGAATGCATTTCTACATTGACCGGACGTTTTGCCTGTCGTGTCAATAATGATGTAGTCCACGTATTCTCCGGTGGTCGTGCACCCATTCATATGCCTATAACATTCTTGAGAGGGAGATCTTCCGGTCCACAACCGTACGTGACTTTAATTTCACTCTATATTGTAACTGCATGTCATGACATGTTAACATATTATTACGTGAAGGCTAGGGTGAGTTTAGAACTAGTGGCGATGGAGGCGGAGACCAATTTCTTAGATAGAGTCATTGAGGCTCCACTGCTACCCAATCCATCAGCTGACGGGGCATTGGATGGATCGCTGCCTGCCCCCGTGCATGTGGAGGGGCATGTTGACGATGGTTCCATGGTTGGTGCAAACTCGGATGATGTCCAGTTACCTAGCCGAAAAAAGAAGAAGGGCAAGAAGGCTTCCTGGCAGTGCAAGTTCATGAAGCGTTTGAAGAATCTGAATAAGCGGTTGGGGGGGATAGAAGCCGATTTGAAGGCCATAAGGAAGTATTTGCAGCGGCTTTCTAAGGTAAGTAGCAGCCTGCAAATATTTCAAATCTATTTAGGTTCAAAATATAGTTGCTCTAATATGTTCTTTGACGTGTAGGGTTTACCAGTTGATCCGTCCGCTCTTCGAAAAAGGCAAGGTGGACTAGAAAATGGGAGTTTAGGTTGCAATGACAATATAGAAGAGCTGGCTGGTCCAGAGGGTCCAGCCAGGCCCGATCATTCGAAGGAACCCGCTTGTGAGATGGGGAATGAGGTGGCAGATGACGTTCTTCGGACACCGGTTGATGATCGGAGACGTACCGGCCACGAGGTAAATATCAATTACTACATTTAGTTTAGTTTCAATGCATCTTACTGTTTCTCTCATTTGTTCATTGATGGGATTGAAGTTTTACGCATGTTGTATTTTAACGAACATGCCAAGTGATACTTATTTTCTCATGTCCTAAATGTTCATTGGACTTACTCAATGAATATCAATCTGTTTCATGAGCAATTTACTGATATTTCAGGCTCGGTTGTGTGACATTTGTGGTGACGCCGGTTATGCTGATTCAGCTTTCACTTGCTGTCGGTGCGGAATAGCTCACGAGCACGTGTATGATCATCTCTCATCGCTTTCGACTTAATCTGTTTGCTTTGCTTTGATTACTTGGCTACATTTCTTACTCTTTAGATGGCAGACATGTATAACAAATAACCAACATTTTGATCATTCAAATTGAAAATGTGTCAAATTTTCTGTTAATTGTTTTCCTTTAAGTTAATTTAATGGTTGGTTTCTGTCTCTCTCTATTTCTCTACCAGTTATTGCATGCGTGTTCTTCTCAAGAATATCACAGAAAGTTGGATTTGTGAGTCATGTCTATTGGGAGAGAGCAATTTAAGCAATAACTTGTGAGGACATTGCAAACTTCTGGCTGAATCAGAGCAGTGTGACTTCAATCCCAAAGACCAAGTTCATGGCTGCTGAAGAAGTTGTTAAGCTCAGAACCGGATCTTCAGCTTGAAAATCAAAATCAATGGCATCCTTTTCTCAGAGGATTTTTGGTGGATCCGAATATATATCTGACATGAAAGAAGCATCAATGGCAGATACAAATTATAGCATTGTATGGTCAGAACACATGAAAATGCCTTCTCTAAATCTGGAGGTATTGAGGAACTGAAGTTAGTGAGTAGACAACAGCATCAACAGAAGCCAAAAACCATTCAGGTTCTTCGAAATTCAGTGCTTTTTGTATTGTTGGGATTGACATATTAATTACATATGTAGCTTGTTTTGTTAGAATTTCACGTGCCTTTCGTTCTGTTAAAAAAAAAAAAAAATGTTGAGCACGGATTAAATAAGGTCTTAATTGGTTAACATATATAAAGGTCTGAATACTCCACATGTCATCCTATTTTTCAAGGATTATTATTTATAAAAATTGATGTTTCAAATGTATATTTTATTATAATTAATTTTAAAATAAAAGAATGAATATTTTAAAATTTTTAGTTCAATTGAAACTCAGACCCTCCAGAAAAGACTAACTAATTTACCGTTCATGAATCTGAATTGATCTCCCTACAGCATAATGTAAATTCTTATATATATATTTACTTTATATAAAAACTTTAAATTAATAATTTTGATATCTCAATGCTCTGCTTTAGTATCCAAGTGGGCGTCCTGAGCAAATTGGTAAACATACTTATTTTCAGCTCAAAGATCGGAAATTTAAATCTTCATCTCCACGCATTTTACTCAAAATAACAACAATAATAATAAATGGCCAACAGTTCAAAACAAAAATACCTAATTATATAGGAAACCAAAATAGCCCAAAGTATTTACAGAAAGCCTTTTTTTTAATTTTTTTTTGGGTACGTCCCCTCTGACTATAGTAATTATACTTTGTACATATACAAGGAAATTTGTTCTATCTAAAATTCACAAAAAGTGAGAAAAAATAACAAAGAAATATACGCACATATATAAGACAATTTCCTTGTACGAAAAGAGTGATTTTATTTCATCCGCACGAAATTAGAGCGTCTTCATCTTTTCTTCTGTTAGTCTTCTCATCCGTCAACGATCTAAGGCTGTTATTACAATCCTACATAATTACCAAAGAAAAACATGAATGAATAATTTGGCAAACAAAACAATAATAAGAAGGCCAAATTAAAGTAATTACCAATCATAAACAGAAGGAGTTGTTGGTTCAGCTCCTTCCAGCGGCCGGCGGCGAGGAAAATCAACCGATCTTCTCTTCGTAAGTCTCTTGACATCGTCACCACGCGGCGTCTCAGGTGCTGCACGAACAGCAACACCACGCACGATCCAATCCAGTTAAAAAAAAGTATGCAGTAAATAGAATGAAATCAAGAATCGGAACGAAGAGGAAAATAGTTACGAGTCGACGGCGATGGTGAGCTGATCGGCGATGCAGGATCAGGAAAGCTCCGACTCTGACTCCGACTCTGACTCAGACTATGAGAGAGCGTAGGGCTAGGAATGTCAATACTCCGAGGAATCGAGATCACGTCGCCGGATAACATCGGCGGAGATCTGGAGGCAGAGAAGGAATTGTACTTGCGGAGGCGTCCGAGGCCGGAATCGGGCGCCGGACCAGCAAGGGTTTCGTCCCAAATCTTTTGGAGGAAACTCATTGGAATAGCGAGAAAGATAAAGATTTCTCTCCGTGACAAGTGGAGAAGGTGCTAGAGATTTTGCTCTTGGATAAACAAGACCAACAACTAAAAAGAAGAAGAAACAAAAGTCTCCACAGATTTTGCACTCTCCCTCTTTTCTGTGGCTTCTATTTTTCACCATTCGGCCGGCTGGGCCTTGAGGAAGTGGGCCCATCTATTGGAAAGTAGCCAACTATGTTTCTGTTTCTAAACAAGTTTTCCACGTAATCAGGAGGGTGAAACAAAATCTTTATTTACGTTGAAACGAGTTCGAAACGAGGATTTCCCAAAATTTTTATACCATCCTGAGATTGTTTCAAAAAAAAATAAAAACAATGAATATAAATAACTTGTTAAAGATTTAAATTTTTTAATAAAATTGAAAAAGAGAAACAACAAAACAAAAATGTTACTAAACAAACTTTAAACTATGCATCAATCAGTGGAACCATTAATCAGTGGAGGAAGAAAAGGAGTAGAAAAATCCAACCATTTTTTAATTTATTTTACACGTCATTGGATAAGATTTCACACCATTGAATTTTTCTTTTCTTAATAAAAATGAAAATGAAAATTAAATAAGTGCTCCATGCCACAAACGTCAGCATCATGATAGGAAATATCATTTAACGTTGAATATATATGTATATATAAGGAATAATTTAAGTAACAAACACTTCAAATATCGTATCAATTATCAAGGATTTTTTAGGTTCTTTTTTTTTTTCCTTTTTCTACAAGAGAATATTAAATATATAAAGCTTTATTTGTGTACTTTTCTAATTGCTTTGAAAGACCAACAACAAGATAAGCCATCTATTTTTTATGAAAATTTTATAGAAATAAAAGAATTGATACGTATTAAATAATAATCTCATACTCTCTAAAGTTATTTTATTTTCTAATTAGGGTATTTATTTAATATATAAAAGAGATGGAATGAGAACAAAAGTATACCTATTATAACTTAGAAGCAGGACGTATAACTCAAATAATAGAAAGAGAAGAAAATTTGAAATATCAAATATGCTTATGTCCATGTCAAAATTTTCGAGAAAAGTTGGATTATGTTTTTTGTTTACACTTGGTTATTTCTTATTTTTGAGAAATAAATGCATTGGATTGCCATCTCTCTAGCTATTAGTTTAGACGAAAAATGTTAGTAACATTAGTTTTTCTAAAAATGAATATAATGTTTTTTTTTCTAATTAATTGCTCATAAGTTGCAAATAAAAATAGCTATTAATTGCTCATCATTATCTTGATGGTTAGTATACAACAAATTTTGAACTAAAAAAAATAAAATAAATTCTAACATACGTTGATTAAGATTAAGAGACGTTAATTTCCAAAAACAATCCATATAACCATAATTGAATCAAGATAATGTTCTAATTAAAAACTTAGAAATAAATGAGCAAAAATGTTCTAAAATATGATCATATGATGTCCAAATTTTCTAATTCTTCAAAATTATTCATCCAAAGATAAAAAGGTAAACATAGAATTAAATAATTTAGCATATCATAAAATGTTATAAACTAACTTATCATAACCTTTTCTTTTTTTCTTTTGAAAACAACATGTAAAAATGGAGATTCGAACTTCCGACTTTTTGGTTGGAGAGATAGTACTCCCAATAGTACTCCTTTTTATGGGAGGAATTTGGTTAGGATATAGATTAGTTATAAGGTGAACAACCCTAAAGGTGGTCCATTGCCTTAACCCAATATTTTGAGAACGGCCCCACAACGAAGACTTGTAAATATTTGTTAATAACATCATATAATACGATATTGCTTTTAATGAGTGATCGGTATTAACTGGCCGATAAGTGAGAGAGAGACATAGACATACTTTTCGCTCACGGTCACAAATGTATTTTTCAGCAAAATATTCCAACTTTGCATTTAAGAACATTGGGCCCCTCTTACTGTTCACTCTCTCGACTTTTTGACTTATAATAATAAGCTTATACATTGCAACCTAAGCATAGCTGTGTACAACCAGAAGGTCATGAGTTCGAATCTCTAACCTCATATGTACTAAGAAAAGGAAAATACTTGACTCCTCACTAATAAATAACAAATTTTTCCTTACCACCCATAAATATTTGATAACTAAGATAAAGAAATGCAAAAAAATAAAGATTTTTTAAAAAATGATGAGTTGTCAAATATTTAATGGTAATGAGCCAAGTATTTTCCGTAAAAAAAATTCATATGTCCTAAGGGTGTTCAAAAAACCCGATGAACCAAAACCTAGCTCGGGTTGGGTTGGGTTGTGATTTTCCCAACCCGATCAGGTTGGGTTGGGTAGGGTATCGGGTTCACCCTTTAAAAATTTGGGTCAACCCAACCCAACCCAACCCAAATTTATGCGTATATATGTATTTTTTAATATATATTTTTTAATCTCATCCATCCATTTAGTTTTATTCCAACTCCTCTTGTCACGATAATTAAAAATTAAAAAAATATATATAAAGAAAACACAATTCGACAACCCAATCAAATGATCATTCAATTCAAACCCGACGGTTCTTATATATAGCCAACCCAAAAATTCAGGTTGGTCCCAAAACCCATCCCAACCCTAATGTGTCCCCTTAATCCAAATGATATGCAAATCAAGGAATCACTCCTCATTTTCCCCCTTCATTGTTCATTTTAACAGGGATAGCATTTTCTTGTCGATCGTAGTAGGATTATCGGGCAATGATGGGGAAATGTTGTCCCCTCTTCTCGAAATTAAGGAAGGTTTTTGTAGCAAATCCATTTCTTTGCTATTTTGTGAGGAATTTGGCTTTAGGGAAATAATAAAATCTTTAAGAGGGGTGGAGATATTGAAGTTGTTTGGAAACTAATTAGTTTTAATAATACATCCCCATGGATATTCGTTTATAATTACAAGTTTAATTATTTAGGATTGGAGCCACTTTTTCCGAGTGTGTCATTTGTTTGTTTTTTTTTTTTGTATGTATGGTATATTTTTTCATTTCATTCTTATTTAATACAAAGAAAAACATAGTTTATTTTAAACCTACAGAATTCTCATGAAATAATCAAGAATTTGATTGCAACAATTCGTAAGTGTGGAGAAGTCATTGATTAAACAGTAAGTTCAAGAGTATGATGGTAGCGAACAACCTATTATAGTTTTTACCTGATTAACAATCCATTGCTGGAATGAAGACGCACCCCTCGGTTCAGCAAGATATTTGCTCCTGTAGATTTCATGAAATTCACAGTTTTTAGTTTGTTTTTCTCATGTTCTCTTTTTATTCGTTTCTTTCAACATAGAAGTATTTTTTGCAAAATTCCCTGAAATTTAAAACAATTAAAATATTAACCATATTTTACCTCATTAACATCCATCCTTGCTTCAAAGTTATGTTCAAAACTCGAGGCAAGACCCACACCACGGCCTTCCTTAGTAGTGGAGAATCGCTTCTCAGACTTGCACTAAAGTTTCAAAGTCTTCAACAGTCAAAATGTCCGGCGCATACAAACAGGATGGAACGCATCAGCAGAACGAAGAATAACAACAATCCACCAAATAGTCTACATCTCAATCAAATAGCTAATTCCAGAATCAGTGAGAATAAAAGGAATTTTAAAGTTACAGAGCCATATCCTTACTTGGAATTATTCTTTGTGAGAGCATGAATAAGTTAAATAATTATATCCAACGGTAGGGAGAAACATAAAAATTCCATTCATCTTTGTGGCAAGTACATAGAAAACTTGTTCCTGTGTACACAAACTATTACTCTGCCTCCAAGGGTCATTAACTCATCAACGAAGGTGCTGGTAGCAATTTCATAATAATAAGCCATGTCATTTAGTATAGAGCAGTGATAAGAGGTTAACCTCAACTAAACCATGGGGGTTTATATCTGCAATAGTGTACCACCGTATCAGTCTTTGTTACACCAATTTCACAATAATGCTATCCTTTGGCTCCTTTTTCTCCCCTGAAACTTTTGGCTAACATTGGCTAGAGTTCATAACTGGCAGAACTCCTACAAACATCCCCACCGGCTCTCTCTATCTTTTATAGCTCTTGAAACCATCAAAGCTTAGTGCAGATCAAGTGAGTAATTAACTCAAAGGTTTTCTGGACTCGAAGGTTTTTTTGGAAAATGGAATTGAGAAGTTGCAGCATTGAAAAAGGTTTTGTTTTTTCATTAAAAATCTAAGAAGAATGTTCAGCTTCCTCTTCTTTTGTCAACTTCAATGGTTTGAGAGTATATTTTTGTGGAAATGATGCATCTTCCTCTTCAGTCGAGGCTCTTCAAATAAAATAGAGATGAGAAAGGAACTTGCCGTCTTCAGAAGAAGTGTTTTCAGCACAATTGGTTTCTAGAATGTGTTATTTGGCCTACCTTGAGTGGGAGTGTTGTTAAGGACAACAGTGCCCCTCGTATCCCAAGTATCTCCACAATGGTATGATATTGTCCGCTTTGGGCATAAATCTAATGGCTTTACTTTTGGTTTCACCCAAAAAGCCTCGTACCAATGGATATAATTGTCCTGATCTATATACCATCGATCTTCACTAGTCAATGTGGGAATTTGTTGCACTCCTTACAAACTCGCTAGGAATAACAAAAATGGTTGGGTTACTATCTAGGATATGCTCAGAGACTCCTTGGTGAAATTCAATGAAAGAAATTTGAAGGAGAAACTTACAATCCAAGGGACTTGTTGTTTGGATGCTTATATCGTTAAGAAAGTGTGATCATCATCTAAAGCCCAAAGGAAAGCGAAGTTCATCTCTCCTAAACCAGATTCAGCAACAAGGTCTTTGGGTTAGAAAAGAGACTGAAGTCATTAAGGTAGATTGGAAAAACCTTATGGTTGTGTTACAAAGACTTTTTGCACATGATAATTGGAGAACAATCTCAACAACATTGAAGAAGGAATTCTCACAAGATTGCTTGACCAATCCGTTAATGAATGATAAAGCTTCTCATGAAATTTGAAGATGGTAGATTGTTAAGTAATCATGAAAAATGAAGGAAGTTTGGTTCTCTTCACTTGAAAATTGATAAATTGAGTTTTACCATGCATAGTATACAAGAGGTTAAAATGAGCTGTGATGATTGGATTAAGGTACATAACTCACCATTGAAATTTTGGAATCGAAGGTGTTTTGAAGCCATTGGTACCCTGTTCACATAAATCTTTGAACTTGTTAAATTGCAAAGAAGCGCTCATTGAAGTTCAACCAAATTCTTGTGGTTTTCTCCATGAAATCGAAATTAAAGACCCTCTTTTGGGTAGCGTTTTCATTAGAATCATGGATTATATGAAAAAGTTTGTTGAAGCAACTTGAATTTACAAAGAATGCAGTGAGTTGGCGAATTTGGATCTCAGCCGGTTCAGAAACAAGATAGATTCAGAAAGAGAGAGATTTATTTTGGAAGATGAAAAGATTTAGCAGATGAAGAAGAAAAGTGGTTCCTAATTCCTACAATGAGCATCCGAAGGAATTTGAACAAGGGTTAAGTTTGGAGAACATCATGTAGATTGCCTGCTTTAATCACCCTTTATTGGCTGATTATCCCCATAAATCAAATCTCCCAAAGGACTTTATCATTGATGGCCAGGTTGTTAATCATAATTTTGGTTCAAAAAAATAGTCAAAGGATTGTCTGAAAGGCCCTTTTTTTTATACTTCTGCATGAAGAATTCTAGAAGATTTATTGATCCTCTCCCATTTTTCTACACCAGGCGTAAATGCAAGTCATTTGCATTCAAGGACCTTGAGAGGATAAATTAATTAGAATGTTGCTTTTGTGCCAGTTTTCCAAGAACATTTGGGGTCGGTTCTTTGAGTTGTTTGAAATTTCTTGGGCTCTTCACAAAGAGTGGGAGTTGATGGTGGAGGAGGTGCTTTTGTATTCTCCGTTCCGCAAGAAAGGGTGATTCCTTTGGCAGGCGGGGTTCTTTGGGATTCTATGGAGAATTTGGTTGGAAAGAAACAATGGAATCTTTTGGAGGGTGGAAAGAGAGTGGGAGTCTATTTGGGACCTCATAGGTTTAATGTTTCTTTATGGGGGTCTATTTCGGAGTTATTTTGTAATTATCAGTTAGGTCATATTCTTTTGGATTGGAAGCCCTTTCTCTAGTCTTGCTTCCTTCTTCAGGGCTGTGTTTTTGTATGCCCTTGTATTTCTGTTTTGATTTCATTATTCTCAAGGAAAACTTCGGTTTCTTATAAAATAAAATAAAATGTTGCTTCCGATGAGGAAAGAGGAGCCTAAAGAAAATAAATCTATTGAACCTTGTAAAAAGACCAAAGTAGATAAGGAAAAAGGCTTAAAGTCTTTTTCATTTGGATCCACAAACTCAACCAATGATGACATGGCACAACGATGGGTCTCATTTTTGGAGCCTTTTCCAATTGGCAGTCTTTTTACTCTTCCCTCTTTATTAAGATGGGTCTCATTGCTTTAATTGTGTCTTGGTTCTCCAAAGGTCCTTTCATAGTTCGAGAAATTTATCTTTTGTTGATAGTTTCGAAGTTTGGATAGGATTGAATTTTTCTTCATCAAAGGATGTTCTTGATCCAGCATGAAATTGCTTGGGTTGATGTGTTTGTCTTCGATTTTGGAATTCTTCAAGCTCTTCAAAGATGGTGTTTCAGGTTGCTTCAAGGATGGATTTTTTCCAAAGCTCCTCTTCCTATTTATATCTTTATTATATTTCTTGTTTGATTGGGTGTGGGTGGTATTTCTCTCTTTGAAATTATATTCTCCCCTATTCATTATTGTTAAATTATATTCTTATTTTTTAATTTCCTATTGTATTTAGGTTTTAATAGGTTAGGTTTCCTTGTTTTAATAGGTAAGAGTTTTCTTATCCTAATAGGCAAGGACTTCTTTTCTTTTCTTCTTGTAGCTCTTATTTATAGTCTAGTATCAATTCTTTGGAAGTAAGTAAAAATTATTTTCTTTTTTATCAATTAACATGGTATCACATCCCAAAACCTCAAATGGGATCCGGCCAAGATCGATGAGCCAAAAGAGCCACGATCTTGAAGCGCATGTTAAGAATCCCACATTGATAAAAGAAGGGACCTTACATAGGTTTATAATAGACATGGGCTACTACTCTCATTGCTAATTGATTTTGAGATGGAACTCCATGAATATTGATCATTATTTTGTTTTTTCACTTCCTCTACAAGTTTGTATCCATTGAACAATTTTTTTCATTTTTATTTATCAGGGAGAAGTTCATATCCTGTCCCAGCAAACAAAAACAAAAAAACATAGGCAAAACATTGTACTTTCTCCCCTTACTGGCCACCACTAACTAATTCATTCTCCCCTGAATTATTTTGTCCCATAAAACATTGTACTTTCTACCCTATTCATCATTTTTATTTATCAATGAAAAGTTCATATCCTATCCCAGAAAACAAAAACAAAAAAACATAGGCAAAACGTTGTACTTTCTCCCCTTATTGACCACTTTTCTCAAGGTACACTTCCACCTTATAAAATTCAAGCTCTTTTCATCATCCATCAATTCTTCCTTTTCAATGTATCAACTTCTCCACCAGTAGAAAAATAAAATAAAATAAAATATACCAATAGAACTCATTTAAACAATCCTTGTGCCCAAGAAAAATCCTAAAATATGGTGACTAAATGGAAGTTATACACAATTGTATTTGTTCCAAAAATCAAGAACATTTCCAAGCTTCATCTTATAGCATATGCCATCTTATTCCAAAATGTACTTCTTCAATAATGGCCAACCGCCTGACCCTACTACATTTGGTTGACAAGGAAACTCGTAGGATATTAAATCCTTGGTAGGTGGCCACCATGGTTTGAACTCATTCTCTCTAAGTCCTTTACTATTTACATTGGCCCTCATTGACCACTTGAGTCATCCCATGATGGTTCATTCTCAATCTTAACTTGTCCTTCCACCACACTATATATACCAAATAGAAGTTATCTTTCTCAATTCATTCGTCAACCAAAAATATCAAGGATTAAAAGAAAATATTTGTCTCATATTCTTAATAATTAATCCACTTCGCTAATATTTCCAACCCTTCTTCCTTGATAGCCCAAAAAAATATAAATACTTTAGAAGCTCATTTATTATCTAACATTCAAATAATAAACATTTCTTATCACTTATATAAACAATCCACCTAAGGAAAACCTTGTGGCCTTGTCTCATACTATAATTCATATTCCTTTATCCTAAGAAAGTATCTATTCTCTCCTTAAAAGACAACCATAAAACTTTTCAAATCCAAAACATTATTATTTCACTTTATTGACCAATACAATCCACCTTTTCAGAATCTACTTTTCCAAGAATGTTTCATTTTTCAATCTGAACCTATCCATTGCAATAACTAGTCCTAATCCTACCGTGCATCTTTTCTTACACAATCATCAAAATTATCTCCAAATTCCATTCTTCAACACAAAACATCGAAATTA